CTTCGTGTTCTCTCTCTCTCTCTCTCTTGCCCTCTTCCTCTTTCTCTCTGTACCGTACTGTGCTATACTGCACTGTACTGTGTGTGTGCCAGGCGAGCGCAAAAATTTTTTTCCCTCTAATTCGTTCCGGGAGGAAGCGGCATCGTCGGCGGCGGTGGCTGCAGAGAGAATCCCTCCACCCCCTAGAGAGGATTGATCTTTTGCTGCGGCAAGCGTGATGGGAATTCTATATAAATATATAAAGGATAAGCTGACGCGTGAAGTGTACTCCATTGTCTGCACGATTATGATTGATTTTTTTTTTTTTATTATTTCTGCGGCACTAGCTCGCAGCTGTATTGTAATATCGCTTCTCGTTAGCCGATATATTCCCTTACAGCTGAGATATAACTGAAAGCAGACCTCGTACAAGCTCAACCAAGACAGTCCATTCGTGGAAGCCACGAGTCTTAAAACAGAACGCCGAGTGCGTAGTGTTTCATTTCTTTCACACGGTCATAAAACTAACACATATGAAAGTTCACTCTCAACTGAACAGTAAAAAAAAAAAAAGAAATTGGCCAGTACTATTCTCAAAAAATTAGACATTCAAATTATTATTAACTAGACAAAACGTCAAATTAATTTGTACATTCTCAAATGGTACTCTACTCATTCTCAAAAGTTGTATTATAATATAAATATATAATATAAATATATTATAATTACTTATTATAAGCTCAACTCCCCTTTTAATTAATAACATAACAAATTAAATGTGCGCTTATATTAAAATAATAAAAAATCCTAAAGAGATACGGAAGTCAGCATAATAGAATCATTTTTAAACACATTTTCTCAGATTTCCTCCGTATTTTCTGAAAAACTACGAGAATGGCTAGAAATGAACATATTTCAAAAGACATTCTCGCAGTCTTTTATTAATTCAGTAGTAATCCTAAAAAGCTTCCTTCAAAGTAATAATTTTAGTCAGGCTGTGGTATCTTTTTGAGTAAATTTTAATACACAATACTCATACACTTTATAAATCATTGAAGTAATGGTACGCTTAACGTAAGAATACCTCAAGTATCAAGTGGCTTACTGATATGAGCTCAATACACGATGTAATAGGAACCCTAGGAATTCGACAAGAAGAAGAAAGACAAAGAGATTTTTGTCGATAACTACTTTGTGCTTAAGAGAAGTCGGGCTATTTGATTGGACCAAGAGCAATAAAAATTGTAGCCGCCGATGTCGCACGAGGCATGCCACAGCTGAAGCAGGCCCAACGATCTTTGTCGAAGTGCCTGTTTGTGCGCGACTTCCGAGCTGACAAGACGCAGCTCTTGCGGACCCAAAGTGAGATAGATTATTGCTTTTGAGCAATCAAGTAGTGAGTTTTAAAAAAAGGATAAGTGTTTTTCAAAGATTAAGAAGATAAAGTGTTTCAACAATTTGTGCATAATTGGCTTGCAACAACAAATGTAAGTAACTACATACATTATTATTTTAGGTCGTCATGCGGGAGTTTTGATCTAGCACCCTTGAAAATTTGATTTAGCGACCTTGAAATCATTGGAAAGGTTTTGCTTTACCAAAAGTAACCCGATTTAATACCTTTTCGTAGTGTGTCTGTAAACCAAGATCGATTAATTGAGCTCGAAAATAATTGCATTTATCCAGTAAAGTATCTTTTAACTGCAGTGGCGTAAAAAAATATGCAGCGTATATGAGCAATTCTTTAAATAAAACGCATTTTTTGAGGTAGAATCGCGGCAAATTTTTTTTTCAACCTACGCGGATACGGACCCCCGGGAAATGTTTTTGGGGGTCCTAGGAACATGTAACCACGTAGGAACCATTGAAATTTCAATAGTGCTTATTTTCAGAGCTACTTTTGTGATTTAGGGCCGAAAAATCATGTTTTCTCGTAAATACAGCTAATTACTCAATTTCTAAGTCGCTGAAAAAGTATCAAAACTCATCTAAAAAAAATAACTGACTGCTGTGTTCAATAGGAAATTTTCTCAGCTTTCCAATGGTGGTGTCAGATTTTCCGATAAGTCGCACATTCACCGAGAAAATCGCCATCAAACATGCCAAGCTAAATATCTCGAAAAACTCGGTACGGAAAAAGTGATCTTTGAGGTTTAATTTCGATTTTTCCTCGTGAAAATGAAATTTATCGAAAAATCTGACTACACCATGAGAAAGCTGAGGAAATTTTCTATCGAAAGCATATCTTCATTTATTTTTTGAGTCGAATTACAATGTTATACATGGGAATTTCTTTTACGTTGTTCGCTGTTTTCTGTTTCCGAGCTGATTCAGCGCGGTCGCGAGGTTTTCGGCTCGCTACAATCAAAACTAGCTCGTAATTCCACTGAAAAAATAAATGAAGATATGCTTTCGATAGGAAATTTCCTCAGCTTTCTCATGGTGTAGTCAGATTTTTCGATAAATTTCATTTTCACGAGGAAAAATCGAAATTAAACCTCAAAGATCACTTTTTCCGTACCGAGTTTTTCGAGATATTTAGCTTGGCATGTTTGATGGCGATTTTCTCGGTGAATGTGCGACTTATCGGAAAATCTGACACCACCATTGGAAAGCTGAGAAAATTTCCTATTGAACACAGCAGTCAGTTATTTTTTTTAGATGAGTTTTGATACTTTTTCAGCGACTTAGAAATTGAGTAATTAGCCGTATTTACGAGAAAACATGATTTTTCGGCCCTAAATCACAAAAGTAGCTCTGAAAATAAGCACTATTGAAATTTCAATGGTTCCTACGTGGTTACATGTTCCTAGGACCCCCAAAAACATTTCCCGGGGGTCCGTATCCGCGTAGGTTGAAAAAAAAATTTGCCGCGATTCTACCTCAAAAAATGCGTTTTATTTAAAGAATTGCTCATATAGGAGCTTTTACGGAGGAGCTTTGGTACAAATTTCGCCAGGCGCAATATGTGTGTGTATATAGGTGCGCGGCTCTCTCTCTCTCTCTCTCTTTCTCTCACGACCCCGCGCGCGCGTGCTCACCTAAAAACTAGAACAAGCGAGAGACTTACGAGCGTCGATGAATTTTAACGATGGTTTCAAGACGTTAACTAGCTCAATTATGAATCAAGCGACTCTCGCTATTATGGATAAAGTTTATGAACGACTCGGGCTTTCTCTCTCTCTCTCTCTCTTTTGCGCGCGTTCCTGACTGAAAGAGAGAGAGAGAGCTTGCGATATATACATCGAGATAGATCGATAAATAAAGCGCGCGAACACGGGCGAAGCTCCTGAAGCACCAGCCCGCACATGAGAGCATAAATCTATAAAAAGCCATTCATTTGAGGCCGGGCACGCGAGCTAGAGAGAGAGAGAGAGAGAGAGAGAGCAAGTAAAACATAAAAGGACTTGACCCGTAAGAGAAAAAAAGGCTTGAAATCTGTGTAATACATGGGCGTCGTGCTAGGCCAATATATATTATATACCTATGTAAGAGCAGCTGGAGATATTGGCTTAGCCGCCCTGTCGCACTCGGAAAACTCGGAGCTTCGACAAACGGACCGGACGCGCGCACGCACACTCCAACAATAAGTCTATTATCTCGAATCTCGATCTGACCAAGTGTGTGTGTGTTTGTACAAAACGTGTATATAAACGGGTGCTCTGCGCGAATGTACCTGCACGACTTTTGATAAAGACGTCTCTCAGCGAGAGCACAATACGTCGTCGCGCAAGCTGTTTACACGGGACGTGATAAAATTACGCTCGTCGGCAGTTGCGACCCGGTGTACGACTGGCCTAGCTTCGCAAGCGCATACACCCACACGGAGCACAATCGCACACACAGGCGGAGGCCGGAAAAAATAACTTATTTCCCGTCTTTTAGCGCCGCGGCTACATTTAAATGCGGCATAAAGAACGTTTCTTGGCAGAATCCTGCCAACTGTCAGACACACGAGACGAGAAAGAGCGAGGACGCGTGCGGGGAGCGCGCGCGACTTTTTCCAAGCCCAGGCCTCTTGTTATTACAGAAGAGGAAGAAAAAGGAAGAAAAAAAGAGAGAGAGGATGATGCAGCTGCTCGGGCTGAGGGATTTTTTGTGCTCACAATGTGATCGCTCGGTTACAAAAAAAAGAGAGAGAAAGAGAGATTTTTCCATCCGTGTAACACAGTTTCTTTTTTACCACGCTTCGGGGTGGGTGGCTGTGCGAGAGAGAGACAGAAAGAGTGCAGAGCTTATGATAATAGTAAACAAACGATGATGAAGTGTAAAAAAATTTGAAAAGCTGCCACCGCTCAACGCCAAGTATACGTATAAACTCATGTATGCAAAACTTTGTGCCGCCCCGCGCGTCTACGCCCGCGTGTATGGAGTGTCGCTTGCACATATAACACATATATACAGTCGCGCGCGCGGTATTCACTTACTCTCCGACCACAAGCAGCAGCCACCCGCACCAGGAGAAGAGCGAGAGAGAGAGAAGTCATGAATCTTTCAACGGGAGAGTCTAAGGTTTGATATGAAACGCAGAAGCTTCATAAAATGAATAAGTAATACCGAAACCCCATCCTCTTTCTACTGTGTGTACTATATACCAGCCGTCACGGCACTCCGAGGAGCGTCGAGCGCACGAAATGCTGATTCCTAGTTCCTATACTAATATTACACGTCCCATTTCGGATGGTAATTAATCAAAGGCGTATAAAAAATTGCTCTCCATATTAGTTCATGGCGGATATCCCGAGTGCTTTTTAATTGTGTATCGCGAGCGCGACGCACGCGGCCCCCCCCCGACTTTTTTAACGAATCTAATTAAACATTCCAGCGATTTCGCCATCGTTCGACACGACTCGACAATGGAAAATAATCTGTATTACGTTGTGCAATTCGTTTATGCCTTATCAAATGAGAGCAAAGTTATGTTTTACGAAATTATCGGGCAGGGAAATAATAAATAAAAATTATTTGTTTAATTCAAATTTTAAAATTTTTATTTTTTTACGTAATATTTATCATGTGCGTATGTTTACATACAAACATAATAATTATTTACGTACTTACATCTTCGTACAAATATGGAATTTCCATCATATATTTTTGCAAAAAATGGGATCCATTTTGTTAAGTAACAAATATATACGATACCTTAAAGTTATAAAACGTTTATAAATGTATGTATATAAAATAATGCATAGCATGAAAAAAAATTTCATACTTCTTAAAATCTAATCAGTCGATGTGAAAACGTAAATATGTACATTTATGCAATACAAAGGTAATCACATAAGTCTCAGTCTTTTTCAATTGTTTCGTTTAACCATGCGGGATCTATGATAGAGAGCCCGTTGATATAAAATTGGTCAAGCCGATCGACTTCTGTGAATAAAACAAGCCGCGGCCTCGTGCCGAAGAGGATTGATGATGGATGAATCGCTACTGGATGTCTCGACTTGACCTAAAAAGTTGGAGTAAAAAAGAAATTACCTTTAAAAAATAACAGTTTGGATTTAATGTTTGCTACTAATGAATTTTAAAATTACCACGACGTAAGTTTGATCCTCCTGCAATTCAGCCAAGTTTTCACTCAAGCCATCGAGCAAAGCTCTCCTGAGATTCTCGGTATTAATCACCGAGCTTCTTGTCATTACCAATCCAGCTCTTTCACTCAAAGCCAACAATTGTTTTCTCACGAGAACGGCGTACTCGAGATTTCGATGATTCAAAAAATTATCTTGGCAGTAAACTTTTTTCTGGTTCTTTTTCGTGTATGCATTGTAGACATTCAAAAGTGTCACGTGATCGCCTTCTTCCGACTTGAATCTGTAAGTGTAAAATAAAATTGAGCACACAAGTGCATGAAACATTTCTATTGAGTGTTTGCGCCTTTGTATTCAAGCTCATCGTTCATGCGCATGTATACGCTATTTACATAGACTCGTACCTAGATCGAGCTGTCAGAGCCTCTTCGTGTTTCGTCGGGCTATCGACAAAGATGCTTTCCGCGGACAAAAGAGCTATCACAGTCAGAGCTTCCTCCAAGCATTCGTATTCGACCGACGCAAGTATCACTTTTGTAAATCTCGGATCCAATGGAAACAGTGCCATCGTTTCACCGAGACTTGTTAAACATGCCGGAGTACCTACGATGTTATTGCACGTATAAATATATACCTTATCGACCGATGATATACTTTGCATCTACTTATGGTATTTTATTTATTAATTTTTTCATTGTAATACCTGAGACAGCGCCTAATCGTTCTAGATACGCTATTGCATTTGCTATCGTTTCTTCCGATGGTTTATCCATGAAATCGAATGTGGTGATATCAATTTTGATAGCTAGAAGCCAAAGAGCGACATTTATTAATGAGCATCTTTGAATTTCGGGGACTGGCATTTCGGGAATTTTTTCAAACTCTGCTTTAGTATAAGTTCTAAAGCAAACTCCTGGTCCCTCGCGGCCACATCGCCCTAGCCTCTGTAAAGCTTGTGCCTTTGAGATTGTATCATATCTTAATACATCATGACCAAGAATTGGATCATACCAGCGTTGTTTAACTACACCAGTATCTATAACAGTTCTAATTCCTAAAACAAATAATGTTTTTTAATTTTAGAATGCTTCAATTTTAAAATCACACATACCTCCTATAGTCAAGGACGTTTCAGCAATATCAGTAGATAAGATAAGTTTCCTCATCCCTGGGGGAGAGGGTTTGAAGGCCTCCAACTGTTGATGTGTTGGCAGAGAAGAATAAAGTGGAAATACTTTTAAAGCAGGATAGCCTTTTCCATCCAATAATTTAGCTGCTTGTCTTGCCGTAATACAATTAACTTCAATTTCTTCTTGATCAGTTAAAAATATTAATATATCCTCGCTAATAAAAATTTAATTTAAATTTAAATTAAACATTAATAATTTTCAAAAATAAAATTTAATTATCTTTCAAATGCTTAAATCAAAAATATTTACTTTGCTGGAGATTTCTGGTGTATTTGAAAGGCAGTTGCTAAAGCAGAAAATTGGTAATCATTTTGTGATTCTTTTGCATGATATACTTTTGTTGGATATTGTCTGCCTTCAACATAAATTGGTAATGTTTCAAAATATTTTGCAAATTTATCTACATCCATTGTAGCAGACATAACTATTATTTTTAAAGGACTGGCATTACTGTTCCTTCTGAGTTTTTGTGCTCTCTTGACAAGACCAACTAATACATCAGTCTGAATAGATCGTTCATGAACTTCATCCAAAATAATTATTGAGTATTTGAGTAATTGATTATCAATTATAGCTTCTCTTATTAGTGTACTATCTGTGAGATATTTAATCCTAGTTTCTGGAGAAGTCATGTCTTCAAAGCGAACAGACCAGCCAACTAATTTACCAACGGCAGTGTTTTGTTCTAATGCCACTCTCCTAGCAATGTTAATAGCAGCTACTTTTTTAGGCTGGGTTATGCCAATACAACTACATGATCCTGCCATTCCAGACTCATAAAGGAGTTGAGGAATTTGTGTTGTTTTTCCACAGCCAGTATCTCCAACTATTATAGAAGTATCGTTTTTACGAATTTGTTCAAGCAATCTGTAGAAAAAAATAAGTAAATAAATAAGATGACTAAAATTTAGAAATTTATTGAGTCCGAAACTCTTATTTTATAGAACTAATGATAGAGTTTCTTATTTACTATCACATTCTCAGTATAGAGTTTATAAAAAAGTTTAATGTGATCTCAACAAAAGTTTTCTAATACAAACTTTTATCTTACAACTGTGCCAAACCTGTTGAATGTTTTCTTTATTAACTAAAATGTCTCACTCTGCTGTTACAACTATACAACTAGACATTAAAAAATAAAACTCATTTTATAGAAGTCTACATACCCTATTCGTTCAAAAACATTGGAAATTTCGCGCTCGATAAGTTTCCCACGTACCAACGACCGATAAAACGCAAACATAAATTGCAGAAAGAGTTTTTGGCATACATACATTATAGTATACAAGCGATGTCGCGCATTTAATTCATATAACATAGCAACAGTAGAGAGTATATTATTATCAACCAATGAAAAATATCTTCGGCACATTACTCGTAAATACGAGAAAAATACTCACTGTTTTCTCAATTTGACAACGGGCAAATCCTTCCGCTGCTGCTGAAGGGTTATTGTCTTTTTTTCCACAGCTCCGGCAGGTCCTTGCTCTTTGTGTTGCTGCTCCGCATTCGTAACCTCGGAATTATTATTGTCTGCACTTTCGATCTTGATGTGCTTGCTACCGCTGACAAAATGATCGTCGTTTGCTCGTTTTCCGGATATTTTGTAAAATACATCACTGCTGTTATTGTCGGCGAATTTGTACTTGGAGTCGTCTTGCTCGTGGACACCCATTGTTCGCTCGAATTATGTGTAGGCGAAAACTGCTTATGAAGTGAGTTCGCTCACGGACAGGCACGCACTCATACTGACTGTCTGTAAAAACACAACACTCGACAAAGCACGTGTTGCGCTCTTTCGTCGATCAGCTCCAACCAGAAAACTGACTTATATCTCACACTCGCAATACGTAGCACAACATCGCGCTTTTTGGCACTAATATAAACAGAAACACGGATTATAGAGGGATATGTAACTGTCAGTTGAAATTAGTTCTGCGTGTCGAAATATTACTAATCCTTTTTACAGTTTTATGCATCTATTGCTCTGTTTTTGCTGTGAGACTTTTCGACCTAACGATTTCATTTGAATCATAAAGTTTTAGAAATATAATTAAAAATTTTTGATCTCTAAATAAGTAACCCACAATTAAACAGTGTATCTAAAATCGATTATAAAAGAAAGATTAAAAAAAGAATATGAGAAATTGTTACGTTTAGCTCGATAGAATATTAAATAAACTTTAAAAGAATGGTTTATACGATATTTAAAACAATGAAAATCTATGGTTCTGCGATAATAAATCAAAAGCAATAAATTACATTTCTAATTTGTTAAAAATTGAAATTAATAATGCATGTAAAATGTACGCCTAACGAGTAAGCAGAATAAATTATTTCGAGTCATGAACTATCATAAAATTAACAAATTTTACACATGGGTTGGAAATGGTTGTTTTACAGTGTTAGAATTTCGTTATTAAAGGGCTATTTTTAATGGACATTGCATCAAAATTTTATAGTGCTGAATTTAAAAAAAATAAAATGAGTTAATTGTAATAACGGTACAATACCGCATATTTTTAATAAAATATTTTCGGCATTTAGTCTAGGTCAAAAATAGTTAATTAAAATAAACGAAGTTTGAAAAACTTATGTAAGCGTACTTTATGAAACGAACGGTGAATTTTTTGAAGAATGACGATATCCAGCAGTGATATATCGTCTGTAGTATAAAAATTTACTAGTATGATCTACTTATTGGCTAGAGTTTATCATCAACATAAGATTTTTTACGAAACGCGTTGCAACGGAGCTCTGTAACAGTATATTTTATACGTCAAGGGTAAAAAACGTATATACTTATGTATCCAGCTCTTTCTCGAAATTAAGAAAATGCAATCTAAAAAGTATGGTGTGCGGGTAAATAGAAAAAAAATATATATAGAAAAAAAACTTGGCATTCGAACATTTCTTCTAAAAACTTTCTCAATTCCAACTTGACTTATCGGTACATCCTCATAATGAATTTCTCGCTCCCTTCCTTCTATCTCTCACTCGCCGTTTCTCACAATTGCTTTTTAAGCGTGCGCCGAAGGGCATAATGTTAGCGGTAGGAGTGGTGCGTTGTTATTCCGGCGACAGAGTTTATAAATGAAGATTAAAATATATATTAAAAAATGCATCATCTGCTGTGCGTTGTTGCCAGTATGATTACACTTTTAGTTGTGTTTTTTTTCTCCTTCGCTAAGCGAAAAAAGAATTATTATTTATGCATTCAGCGCCAAATTTGCGTATTATAATTTATCATTGCCTCAGAAAGCAGCTTGAGCGCACTCGGGTCGAGCACAAGCCCCGTGATAAAAATCCATCATTTCTAGCAATTTTTTGAGAAAAAAAAAACGGAAAATGGCTCGAGCCATAAATACACTTCAAGAGATATATATAATCTTTCGGGTAGGAATATACGAGACTGCGTCTCTTGAAACACAATTGTTCCACGTCCCAGAGGTGTCGCACACTACCGTCTGTCTTGTCGGTGACAATTTGTTCTTGGCGTCTCGCTTTCCTGCAGCTTCTCTCCTTTGCGATTTACGAAATACACTCTGGAAATCGATGTATACCTATACTGTATTCAGCAAAGACGCAGAGACTTAACACAAATTGATCGCACACAACGTATTATATTTACTTTTCGCTACGATACTAATAATTTAACTGGATTCGAAAGTTTTTTTTTCCATCGGGGATAAATTTCTAATTTGTTAATGAATAAATATTCTTTTATTTAAAATAAGGGTTTCGAAATAATTTTTTCTTTGATTACAACTATATCGTGTCATTATAAGTAAAATTATCACATAACATTTTACGAATCAACATTGGGTTTGCGAATTGATGAATTTATAAATAGTTCGTTTTTAGGAATATTTTCATGATAAACTAACGTACTCCAAGTTTTGATATCGTTTCTTGTCGTTCATAAAATTGTACTTACGGGTTTTATGATAGGTTTCAGTTTTTGCTCTCCTGAAAAAATTAATTCAAAGAGACTTGAGAGAAACTTTTCTGCGAACACTTCTCGACGCGAACATATTGCGTGAATGCGAGGACGAAAATTGGCCTACCATAAGTATATCAAAATTATAGAGTTGCGGAATTTCATTAATTTTCTCTGCTTATTTTATCATGTTATATGTGTGAAAAATATCGATGAATACCGATCGAGAATTCTAATAACTCCTAGCCTTACGTTTATTAAAAGAGCATCAATAATCGTCTCCAGAATAGCTACTTCTGTTTCTATCGCTAGTGAATTTTGACCTCTTGTTTTCATTGGCCTCAAAACTTTCGCTTGGTGAGCGCTTTCGAAAGTAAGGACTAGTATCCTTTTCCGGACATTCAATTGCTTTGTGTTTGACGAATTTCTTGCAACTGTAGCACAGTTTTAGACCAGTTCCTTTTCTAGGACAGTCTCGCCCCAAATGTCCAAGATCGTCGCAATTGAAGCAGCGAAGATGGGCTTTTGAAGATGATTTTTTTCGGGAAAATGTTTCCCGTCTTCCATTTAGTTCTTCGTCCTGACGACACAGTTTGGATTAATCTCATTTTTTACTAAAGAATCTTTTAATCTTACATAATGGGGTTTTCAAGGTCAAAATTTGCAACTACAAGGAAATCTCATCTACATTTACATTTCTTACTTGGTTACAGGTATTATAAAATTGTTAGCTTACCTCGCCAACTACATCATCACTACCAAAAAATCTATCTATTACTTTATCAAGATCCTTTGGTATAGTAACTTTTCTAATTGGTTCATCCTGTTCCTCTGTCTCATTGCGTAGTGATTTTAGCTCATCTAAAAATCTGCTTCGATCTTCAATCATCTCTTGTCTTAGCTCCTCTACAACTTTTGTAACAGTATAGCACATTTCAGTAGCGGTATCAATTAGTTTTGCCAGTTTTTCCTCTAATATACTATTCGATGGCTCTGAACTTTCATTATCTCCTGAAAAGCATTGCTTATGACATTTTTTTCAAGTAGTCTCAATTATGATATAGCTTACTGATTTATTTCTTAAAGATTTAAATAAGAATTAACAATTAGAAATGAAATTATTTATTTAAACAAATAAGTTCAATCATTTTCAATGAATAACAAGTTAATTTTAAAACAATGAGTATTATGACACTTTATTTATTTTTTTAAATCTTGAAAAGTTTTCCAAAGCAACCCCAACAATCAAAAAATGAATTTATACTTGGAAAAGTGTATCAACAAGCATACATTTAAGTGTTAAAATTTTCAGGTTAAGATTAAAAATTTTCTGATAAATTATTTCGTGATATTTTTTATAAACTGCAAGCAGTAACTTTTGATCGACATGTATAGTTTGTACACATTACCTTTCACTTCATACTTTATACAAAATATTCATACTTACGTGATAATTTCGCATTACTCGACATGGCTAATAAGGTTGCAATGATATGTGTTCCTTTAATTAAAGAGAATAAAAATAGGCAGAAATTATTATAGTTTACTACCTACATAAAATTGATCAAAATATTAAATAATTAGCGTAATAAATCACGCAAGCAATTGATTTTTTAATGGAATAATGCGATTGCGTTGATCAAAATAATTCATGTCCGGTTTGCAGAAACCGAAGTAGACATTTTAAGAATAGTAAAATATGGCGGGAATAAAGCTGTTCATTCAAAAATCTTTAACTCAAAGATGACCAGAATAAAAAAAAAGTAACTTTGTTATCAAAAAGTTATTTTGCGTGTACGAATATTTGACAACATTTATTAATATTTATATATCATTCAACGTACATTATATTTAGATAAATCTTTTGATAATTTTATATTATATATTATGTCTCCTTTGTTATTATGCATAGTTTGTATTCTGTTACAATTTTTTGTGTATAGTTTACAACATTATTCATGAAAGCACAATTAAATTTTACAATTTTTGTTTATACATATTAATAAATTGTTCACACTTAAATAAGTTAATATTTTTTTTTCAAATATATAAATATAATACAATTAAATGCTGTCGATACTTAATATAGCAGATCTTTAACGTATTAATACAGATATGTACTACTTCTTACATTCTTTCCCATTTCATTTCTCTTTCTTTTTCTTCTTTTCAATAATATGATATAAATATGTATAGTTTATACATAAATCATTGAAGATGCATGTAAAATGAACCTTCAAATATATTATAAATAATCATTTCTGGACCAAGATCAATATGTTTGTCTTTATCGTTAAATGCTTTGAATTGAAAGCACCATTTCTACAATACAAACTCTTTTTTTAAACAGAAAACTGCATACATACATTTATATTTTATATGTATAACAAAGATAAAGACATCACAGATACACATACATTCTGTGCAAATGCAGGAAGACACAGTGATATACAGGCTGTCCCTCTTTCTCCTTTTCTCAATACCACATGTACTTATAAATAAGCACCCTAAGTGAACCAAGATTGTGCATATTTCTATCACAATTATTCTCTCTCATTTAAAGCACATTATAATCTTCATTCATATAAAGATATCAGAATAACATTTGATAATTATTAAAGCCTCATCTTTTTTTCGTAAATGCAAGAAAAGTAGAGTAATCAGGTACACAGAAAAAACATTCAACATCCTGTTTGTACCTGGACATGTCAGTACTTATGAAGAATCTTTAAGAACTAAAGTTCACACACATTTAACGTCTAACTGGCATGTGAAAGAGAGGTCACGTGTCGCCTTCATCATCAGTCAAATCACCGCTACCGGCATTAGCTCCAACTTTCGTTAAATATCGATTTCGCATACGATCATCTGATTGAGGCTGAAGTAAATCATCCCCTGATAAATCTGATGTTGAACCACCACCTGCGTTACCAGATAACAGCTGTTCACGTTCTGTATTAATTGGTGCGAGTGGATTCTTGTCAGAATGTTCACGTTGTTTCGGTGTCATATTGAGGTAACCACCTGTATTATTTGAATCAGTGATCCAAATGACTATAGCGGTAATAAGCGATACTGCAAAAAAGAATTATAATAAAATAGATATAGGAATTTTAATAAACAAATTGATAACTTATTTGAAACTCACTCCATAGCCATCCTAGGAAAAATAATTCAAGCATGAAGTAGCCATGATTATCAACAATTATTCCACAAACTATTGAAGTAACAGCCAAACCTAAGTTTTGTAATGCTTGTGCACTAAAAAATGAATTTTTTTTTGTAATAATTAAAGTTTGAATACATTATAAAAAAAATTTCATTATAAAACTTACATTCCATAGGCAGTACCAAGTTGATGATCAGGTATAATTAATGTTATTAAAGGCCACAAACCACTAGCAAGCATAGAATAAGAAAGACCTAATATCACCATGCATACATATGGGCTTACATATGTAAATGCTAGCAGTCCATGTGCTATTAAAGAGCCAGTTATACTTAAAACCACCCAAAAAATGTTTTTGCCCATTTTATCTACTACGATACCAAAAATTGGGGATGCAACAGCAGATATAAAATAAACCAGTGAATTCACCGTATTTGCTGCTGCAGGTTCAAATCCATATTTCCTTATGAAATAAACTCTGCAAATATTGAATAAAAAATTAAAATGAACAATAGTAATAAGAATAAGTAGTAATTAAAATTTTCAACTTACTTTCCTAATGAAATGAAGGGAAATATAGCTATATAATAAGCTACACAAATCCAAGCAACAAGCCAAAAAACTCCTTTGAAATCCTTTACATCGGTAATTCTAGCTATTTCTGGAGGAGCACCTTCGTTACGTCTTAAGACTTTTTCAGCATGACTATCCATTAAACCTAATAGTAGTGCACAAACCATAGAAAGCACACAAGTTAAAGCAGCAATAAATAAAACTGCTCCAATGCATTTAGGACCTGAGTATTGCAGGGTTTTAGATACATAGTTATAGATATCATCCATAACTACAAAATTCACAGTTGAGCCAACCCTTGCAAAGCTCAATTGTAAGCCAAATACTAAATTTAATTCTTTGCCTTTGAACCACAATACTGCGTAGCTATTTTGTGCAACTGCTAATGATTCGGCTCCAATTCTAAAAAAATAATTCAAACGTAAAGCGAGTTATCCATGAAATAAAGGTAGAAGTAAAGAATTATTTTTTGATAAAGACATACCCGAACACAAATCTCCCCAGCATCATTAGCCAAAATGTATCCACAAATGCTCCAAGAGCAAACATGAGCTGACCAATCATTGTCAATGACATATAAATGATTGTTCCCCATCTTATACCAAAAACTGCATCAATTAAAAATCCTCCAATAAAACAAAGTATAACATTAGGCCATGAATAGATTGAATACAACAAAACAAATTTTTTAGTTGACATATCCAAATCAGACTTGAAATTATTCTGAAGTGCTCCAGGGTTGTCATAGCAAAAGTAGGAACCTAAAAGTATTTTACAATATAATTATTATAAATTATAATAAAATGAAAATTTATTCAAAAAAGAAAAGTGAATCATTCATTGCATTACGTTAATTGAAAAAATGTTATACAGTTTGTGAGATTATGTATGAATCATAATGTTGAATGAAACCCAATCTTTACAAACTATTTAATTTTAATAATACTTATAGCATGATTAGGGTCAGCATGATTGATTATTAATTTATTCATATTTTTTTAAAAATGGGAATCAATGTACATTAAAGTAAAAAACTACATTTGATTTTTTGACATTTTTCAAGTAGTCAAAGGTCACACACACAATTTTTTTTTTCAAATAAAGTTCACTTTTTGTTATCATTAAATTTTTCATCTAACGATATATCCGATTCTGCTGACATAATAATGATAACATAAAACAAACTATATGAATCACTTGCATTATCTTTGACACAAAAGCCTCATCATCTGCCGGCTCCATTATCTCTTTCTCTTTTAAATTAAGTATCAATGCATTTGAGTATACTCTAAACGTTACATAGATAATTTTTGTTGTATTAGTCATGCTCAGCCAACTCAGACAACTGATATTTTAGCTGTACCATTTGTATCAATATAAAAAACATTGAATATGCATTATTAGGCCAATAAACGAAAAAAAAACAAAAATAATTAATAATTTATGAATAATCTGCATTACGAAAGTAACTAAATTATTTGATCAAATCTCTTTGAATACCAATCATAAATTTGTTTAAAGCATCAATATAAATCAACATATTTTCTCTGAATAATGTTGTAAATATAACTGTAAAAGACTTACCAAAGCCTAATAAACACATAAGAGCCAGTCCCATGAATCTAAACATTGGCCTCCGAGGACTAAAGCAGCCCTGAAGTGCCACATCATCCTCCGACCTACTAGTTGTGCTGTCAGGACTATCCATTACGCCACCTTCCATTAAGCCCTGCAGCTTAGAGAATAATTTTTCTTTAGGAGTCACGCACTCGAAAGCTTAGAACATCTGTTTCACTGATGAAACGTCAAAATTTGACGCATATCTGTGTTGACAAAAGATTGTTGAATGTTATTGAGTGCATATATTGATATGCGTGAACGTGAACGCGCACTGGATAATTTGATGTCTGCTTACTTACAACTTGACAACCTAATGAGTCGACGACGTCCGATCGAAAACAATAGTCACTCCGTTCGTTGGCTTATTTATAAGCACACACATATACATAGCTTACATTGAGTTAGTTTGTGTTGTTCGGTTTTGTGGTGCACAAAATACTAGGCAGCTGTACACAGCAGCAGTACACACAACACACAGTCGATTGCATGTCATTCATAGATCAAGTATGTATGGAGGGGGTACGCGCAGCCGTGTATACCAACAAATCAGTGCCATCTATTGACCACCGACGCTATTATGCGAAAATGAAATCTGCCTTACCACGGGTGCAGGTATAGCGCGTGATTCGCTTCCGCATTCTGCATTATCAATCGACGCAAAATTGCCTACTTCTGTACACATGATAGAATTTTGTAATGCTTATGAGAAAATGATTCGAAATTGATATTCAAGGGATCAAAGGGGGTTTAAAATGCAAAACATTTTATTTAATTTTTAGATGATTTTTCTTTCTCTTTTCAACGATTTTTTTTAAATTCCAAAATTTTCATTTTTCACTGAGGTACAGTTATTTCTGTGAGCTTTTTTCGTATAATTAGCGTGTTTAATTTTTTTTTCTTTTGAGTTTTCTATAAGTTATGCTTTTGGTCACTTATTGCAAGATTCAAAGCGAACTCTTTGAGCTTAGACGTTCAGGTGATTTACACTTCTTCGGAACATAAGCGGTCACCGAAATAATCTCGGGAAAAATGACGCTGTAAAATTCCTTTCTAAAGATTGAATAAAATTTTCTTCAATATTAAGCGACTTTTGAGTAAATGAGGTAAAACTGCTAGTAATTGGATACTGCGAGTTAACACATGTTTTACGTTTAGATAATAAATCGGTTAGATAAAACAACGAAAGGATAATTCTATTTTTATAGTATTCACTTATGTGCCATTCGATTAATTTAATATGTATTGTTGAGGATTATCAATAACTGAACTTGAGAATTAATTTTTATCATGAAAGATTATAATATTAAAAGAGAAAGGAGGATCGTTTAGTTAATTTTTTTTTATTTTAACATGATTTTGAACATTTTTTCTGGTTATATGATAAAAATAATTTAATGGGATTGAAGTCTACGATAAAGAAAATTACTCTAAAAGTATATAATTAAATTTTATCAAAAAATATTCAAAAATGAGCTTATGATAGTAAATTGTAGCTTCAGCTTCAAAAACATGGTGCACGCGATAATTTATGATAAGATTATTTGGGACAAACGAATCAAAGATTTTTTTTAAGTTTAAATGACTCTTGAGGCAACGATTTGAAATTTGTTCAATTATTTTGACTTTCGAACCTTTAGTGTAAATTTGAAGTGAAAAAATGAATAATATTTGTCGATTTCAAAAAATATTGCAAAAAAATCTCGACGTTAGTCGAAAAAAATGTTGAGATTTACTTAATTACTTTATGAGGTATGAAGTTTTAATTTTACTACCCAGTAAAGTGATGTAAAAAGAAGTGTCCTAAATGATAGATTCATTCGTTTTTTAATTACATTACGATTACGCAGACTCAAAAAATCTAATTGTTTAGGAAACAATTTATAGATTTTCATGTACAAAAATTTGAATTTTTCTTACCTCCTTAAATAATCTTCTATGCGGTCCATACAACGAAGGAAATCATCTAACATATTTAAACAATTTTTTTTCTGTTGTCATTGGGATTCTAGAACCTTGAGACATCAAATATACGTATAGTAAGGAGGTACTTATTTACCAAGTTGCATGGAATCTTGCTTCCAAGTTTTTTTAGTTAATTTGAAACTTAAAGTGGAAATTCAATATTAAGAATCATTCATATAACTATAAACCATGCGCTTATCGAGATCGTCATTTTCGAAATTTATAAATGTAATAGTGATCATTATGTATGATAGATCGGTGACGCCTTCAACCTCGCAAAGCGAGAACGTCGCTCTCGGCGTCGTTTGGGCCTCCATCCAAACACCGGTGATCGCTAGCGGCGCGAAGTGCGCGTGACGATCGGCCAGGAGTGAGAACTGAGAAGGGTTGAGCGGGCCTGTCTTCGCCAACGAACATTCGTTCGACCACTCTCTCGTCTCGCCCGGAATACACTACACATGTGGCAACTTCAGCGCCCGAAGTAGCTTTCGTTAAATCTTACTTTTCACATTTAGTCGAGCTCGCATTTACGGACAGCTACAATGCAATCCAACCCGTAAAGATCGGCTAGATGAGTAAAAGATGTATAAATTATCTTTTGTAATGAATGTATACGAAAACTGTTTTCTTTTCCAAAATAAACAGTGAGATTTGTTAAAACGAAGAATTAACAACAAATTCATATGCGAAATTTTAAGTACGGTCCTTATAGGGTGATATCACCATATTTTTTTAGCAATAATAGATATCCCAATTCTGATGCTGATATTAAAATCATATATTCTTTTGTCCATTTTTAAAAACTTTTATTAGAAAACTGTAGCAGTTGTCTATGGTTGGTCTATGGTTTTTTTCGTCATTATAAGAATTATATAAAAATAAAAAATAAACTAAGTTCATCATGGAGTATGAATATTACAAATATTGGAGTACGGTCGAAACATGAAATTATAATTTTACTGATCGACCAGCAGTTTTTTTACCTGAATTTTATTGATAATTTCTCATGCCTTTATTTTTTCATGTTTTGCAGGTGCTGAAAGAACAAACTGTGCAAATCAATAATTAGATAGAAGAAAATTCCTGTACAGAAAGTTAAGTATCTCATTGTTGTATCTAAATCGTTTCACTTCCTCTTCTGGGCTAGTTTTTCATTACATATTTTATTGAGCGGTATTGTGGTGTCACGTCGGGAGATGTGTCTGGTCTTTTTTTTGTTTGTGCAAAGATTAAAGTCTTTTAACACTGGTAATGTATCCGTGCAATATTTGCAGTATCGTAAAAATAAATGATTAACTCATTAAGTTCCAAGAGGACGGTTTGGTCAACACTTTATTCGGCCACTGTATTTTTTTATGAAAATGGGGTCATAAAAATATGCCAGTAACAAATTCTAATACAAAATTTAATGCCTTTTCAGAATCTGATCTCAGATTTTTGAAAAAATGATCAGGTCAAAAGTTAAACTTGATTTTATAAAAAAAAAAACGTGATTTTGAAAAAATCACATTTCTTAAATGACTGCCTTTGCACGAGACCCGAGTTCTCGTTGTTTCCTCGTTCTTGAGGTGCAGCTTCGAATTTGTCAGCATTGTCGGCGTACCATATATATGGGTCAAAATAATACTTTTTTACAAAACCGTGCGCACGTATGTCACCGATCTTGACGCGCTTTCGGTATGTTATAGTACATGGTAAATAGGTCCCAAAAACAAAATTTTAGACCCCCTCCCCCCTCCTACCCCCCACTTCCGGTATAAACGTCCATTTTCGATCTATATTTTTTCTGAGGACATGAAGCAAGTAAAAAATCTGAAAAAATTCATAAAAATACTTTTCCACAATCCAAACAACCTTGAATTTTTTCAGATTTTTTGAGTGCTTCAGGCCTTCAGAAAAAATTATTGAAAATTTCAAAAATCGAGATACGGCGGTATGAGCCGATGTAGTACTCGGAAATTTTTTCAGTTATTTTTCGCATTAAAAAACATAACCTCAATTTTTTTCAGATTTTTTCAGATTACCTAACGCACCTTTTGAAGCCAAAAACCGATTTTTTTGACGAAAATAATTTTTTTAGGACAGTACGGAGCCTCGAAAAATCTGAAAAAAATTTTTTCTTGTTTTTTTCATCAAAATACGTAATCTCAAATTTTTTCAGATTTTTTAATTGAAGGCGATAGCTTCTAGGGCCGAAAAATGCTATTTTTAACAAAAAATGGTTCCTAGAACCCGATGGTTCCGGTGAAAAAATTTGAAAATATTTTTTTTGAATTCCTTGTCAAATTTTAATAAATTTTGACCGTTTCAAAAGTTCGATTGAAGCTTCCTAGCTCATTTTAGAGCATCAAACGAGTTTTATCATTCCTTAATGTCTTCAGAAACGTCTTCAGATATTTTGCACTAATCTTTGTCCTGCTCTAAAATGAGCTAGGAAGCTTCAATCGAACTTTTGAAACGGTCAAAATTTATTAAAATTTGACAAGGAATTCAAAAAAAATATTTTCAAATTTTTTCACCGGAACCATCGGGTTCTAGGAACCATTTTTTGTTAAAAATAGCATTTTTCGGCCCTAGAAGCTATCGCCTTCAATTAAAAAATCTGAAAAAATTTGAGATTACGTATTTTGATGAAAAAAACAAGAAAAAATTTTTTTCAGATTTTTCGAGGCTCCGTACTGTCCTAAAAAAATTATTTTCGTCAAAAAAATCGGTTTTTGGCTTCAAAAGGTGCGTTAGGTAATCTGAAAAAATCTGAAAAAAATTGAGGTTATGTTTTTTAATGCGAAAAATAACTGAAAAAATTTCCGAGTACTACATCGGCTCATACCGCCGTATCTCGATTTTTGAAATTTTCAATGATTTTATCTGAAGGCCTGAAGCACTCAAAAAATCTGAAAAAATTCAAGGTTGTTTGGATTGTGGAAAAGTATTTTTATGAATTTTTTCAGATTTTTTACTTGCTTCATGTCCTCAGAAAAAATATAGATCGAAAATGGACGTTTATACCGGAAGTGGGGGGCAGGAGGGGGGAGGGGGTCTAAAATTTTGTTTTTGGGACCTATTTACCATGTACTATAACATACCAAAAGCGCGTCAATATCGGTGACATACGTGCGCACGGTTTTGTAAAAAAGTATTATTTTGACCCATATATAGAGAGAAGCGGTTCAATAGGATTTTTCGCGTCGTCGTTATAATTATTAACAATGTTTCAATGTAGGCCCGATATGAATATTGAATTTAATTTTTATTGATCTGTTTTTGCCTTGAAATTATTGTGTAGTGTGTATTTCTCAATCCGTGTGCGTACACTGGCGTGCATCGTCGTGTACGTGCGCGTTTTGGATCTGCACTTTGGTGCACATGATCTTGATTCGTTCAACAGTCATCTTGGCATGCAAGTAGCCGATTCGTCGCACGTGTGGCTTGGCCAGTAACGAGAGATAATGATGATCGCTACTGGCCTATTAAATTAAAAAAATGTTCTT